TCACCGTGGACGAAGCGGAGTCCAGCCCGGGGTTGTCACATGTGGTTGCCGCAAGCCCACCGGACACTCCTTTGTCGAATCTGCCGGCCGCGCCGTTCTCAAGCCCACCCACCTCCGCTCACTCAAGGCGGGGCATAGAGGAGAAACAATAATATACAGTATGTGGAAAATAATGTGTTTTTTTAACCTTAAACCACATAAACACATTTCATTACACCAAATACACAAAATAATGTTCTTTTTAGCAACATCATATGACCCCTTTAACTTTTTTTTAAATTGACGCACAAGGGTTAATTGTATAATTGGGGAGGGGTGTTGGGGGAAAAAACTAAGTGGGTCAGAGCAATCAGACAGAGCACCACAACACTCTTGTAGCCAATCAGCAATAGAGGGTGTTTACGTTCATGATGGGGGAGGAGTCCGAGCGAGTGTGTGGGAGATTTGTAGAAAGACTGTAGAAATGGAGATAGCGGAGACTATTTCCAAAGAGGAATATCACTGTAAAAAGAAGGGTTACGATCATAGACTGTATAAAAACATGGACGCAGTGTCCGTGACGTCACCCGTAAGTTCCTGAAGAGCGTTTTTGAAGCTCAAAGTGGGCAGAGCCGGCCGTCGCCATCTTGGTAGCGCGTCACTCCTGGATAATTGAAAATGGGCAAAAAGGCGGGAGCTGGTTTCTGAAACCACGCCCACCTAGCTCGACGGTGGTGACAGCTGCGGCAATCCACTTGTCACTCAAGTGGCCACGCCCTTAATTATGCAGAACTTTAAGGCTTAATATAATTTAAGCGGATGACTTATAAAAAAATTCACCACCCTCACAGTTGTCATGAAGGGCAAAATTAGCTATATAGACCAAAATAACTGTTTGAACCAGACTGTAAACATGTTTTTTTCTGCTGTAAAGTTGAGCATTTTAACATGGGGAGTCTATGGGATTGACTCCCTTTTGCAGCCAGCCTCTAGCGACCAGTTGACGAATTACAGTTTAAGTCACTTCCGTGTTGG